ATTGAACGTTATTATTGCATTTCTGATGAAAATTATTCTTCATTCATTAGACACAGCAAAATCATATTTATGAAATGCGTAACAAACACCAGCGACAGCCTCGAACCGGTAGACGAAGTGTAGGGCGACCCCCTACTAGATGGGGCGACGGCCTGGTAAGAGTAATTGCAAGATAAGCAGGAAGTCGATGGATGCATGTGGCTCAGGACCGTGCTTTGTGGCATTCCTTGGGGGAGGGATGTAACGATGATGATGATGAACAAACATATAAATACATTTATAGAGATTCAGTGACTACTCTCTTTTTAACACGTTTTTATTAGATTGACCTGTATGTATGTTATGAATTTAATTGATTTTTTTTAAACTCATTTTCACCCGATTACAGACGTATGAAAAATCTGAAAGGAGATTATTTCTTTTTGTATGGAAAATGGGCCCACCACGAAATGTGGCGTAACTTAATGAAATGATTTATTCCTTATAATCTACTATAGATTCACTAGTAATATTAGTTTTACCCCATCTAACGTGAATACTGAGAAATCAACAATTAAAATATGAACATCACAATAGCCGAAAAACAAACTAAAAGCGATTGTCTGGTAGTTTTCATCGGTATTATTAGTTAAAATAGTGCACTGTTCAATAATTAATAGTATAAAACAAAGTTGTAGGTAATTCAGCATTTATAGGTACTTTAAGATTGATGGAAAATCCTTTTAGTAGTTCCGGAAAAACAGAGTGCACAGATACAAGTACGTGGTGTGGAAAGTATTTTTTACATGTATTGATTGATTAATGAGTATTAATCCCAAACACCATTACAGTAATTAAAGAAATATGATTAAAGCCAAGATGACTAAGGAATAATATGTATATTTAAACTATTGCCTATACACGCTGTATGATGAATTTGATGAGCAAATAAACACAAAAAAGCAGCAATGTGACGAACGTCAATGCCGTGTAGTAATACTCCGGGTATAATCCCGGAAGTAAATGACAAAATAGGGGTATTAATACGTTTCGTTTAACGGTCACTTTGAACCATATTATTTGATATTAGCTTTTAGAAATAGGATTGAAAGCAAGTTTTTAGTGGTATCTCTTTTTAATAATAAATATATAATATACAAATACATAATATATGTAGGTTTTTTTTATAGAAGAGGGGACAAACGAGCATGCGGCTCACCTGATGGTAAGTGACTACCGTCGCCCATAATCAACCGCAACACCAGGGGAATTGCAGGTGCGTTGTCGGCCTTTTAGAAAGGAGTAAGCTCTTTTCTTAAAGGTCCCCAGGTCGTATCGGTCCGGAAAAATCGCCGGTGGTAAACTAATCTTAACGTTTTCAAAAATATTTATCTTTTTACTATACAAAGTGCAAAAATGCTTCGTTACATACATATTTTTTACATTACATTAGCCAGAACACGAATGTCAGAACAATTCTTTTATTTTGAGATATCATGATTCCGGTTAGATTTTCATAAAATCTTTAGTCCGGTTACCATAGTAAATTGATAATATGTTTTATTATGACGTGTAAAATTTCTAGTGGGCCCAAAAATTATTGTCTCCTTTTGTAAGGAAACGATAGCAATACAACAATTTCTTCACTATGGCCTAGTATTGTCATGATAATCGTAGTTTATATTTATAATCTAGGCGTATTGTTCAATAAACTATAATTTTACTTATTAGTAAACATTGTAAGAATTGTAAGTATAAATGTGCCATAGATAAAAAATACAAGACCATTAAAAATATGCGCTTACGATCTGAGAGAACTTTAAAATACATAATTTTGGATTCCTTTCATTTATAAAAACTATGCATTTATGTATGTAGGTAAAATGTCTGTATGCATAAAAGTAATTTCACGGATATTATCGCGTCTAATTTTAATCTTAATAGTAATAATCTTAAAAGTCTTATACTTAATTCCTGCTGTTTCATCATACTGATTTCTACTAAGGATGATTTGCGAGGCTACTAAAATAAAAATAAAAATATCCATAATAGAGTCAAAACTACCACCATCCAAATATATGCAAGACTTTAAAACGATGTAAGCTCGTTATGCATAAATCGTACCAAAAACATTAAAAGCTAAACGTTAAAAAAAGTTAAAGTTACAACGTATATACGTCCCACTACTGGGCCTCTCCTCGTATCAGAGAGGGTTTTAGGGTAAGCAAGTGTCCGTCGCGCTGCCCCATTGCATGTTGACGAACTTTACATGTTTTCGATATTTTTTTCTTATTTCTCAGACATGCAGGCTTCCTCACGATGTTTACCTTCACCGCTTCAACCATGTGAGCTACTACGGCTCTTGAAAAAAGCTAAAAGTAGTTTGAATTAACTATGAGACAATGGATTGTGATGATTACGATGACTATAAGGACAGGATGACGTATATCTTAGTAGGATATTGTAACTGATGGGAGAAAAAACTCAACTTAATACGCTTATGTTGATTTTTTTCTCCCATCAGTTTCAGTTTTCAGTTTCACATACAAAAAAATAGAACATACAGTAGAATATATTTAATATACATAATCATTTCGGCTGGCTATAGACGTCCGGTAACTGATTTTAATAATGTTTTTAGTTTAAGAGGCTTGTTAAGGTTAAGCTTGAACCTATTACACTGGTTTTTAGATATCGATAATGCGTTTTGAATTAATTACGATAAAAATAAATTTCACTAAAAATTGCTTATAATGAAACGCAAATATGTCAATTTGGTCTAGTATTATGAAGTAGATGTGCAGTACTTAATCTTTTAATATTGTTTTCAATTTAGAAAGTTTGTCAGAGTTACGCTTGAACCTTTTATACTGTTTTTGGATTTCGGAAATGCTTTTTGAATTAATTACGATAAAAATAAACTTCACTAAAATTTCTTATAACGAAACGCAAATATGTCAATTTGTTTTTTTTTAACACAGATACACTCATAAAAAAAGTTAATGACTCGGACCCAGACAATCCAATGTGGCTGAAGACGGGACTCATATATAACAAATTGAGTCGCAGTGGAGAACAGTCAAGAGGTTTTTCAGAAAACAAAATTATAATAATTCACATTACATTGTTTCATTTACCAGCACAGACCACCACGTAGGCTGGGTGGTCTGTGTTTACCACTATCAAAGCAAAGTTTAGGGCAACCTGACTTTATAGATAAGATTGGTGGAATCTGTTCTAAAGCCGAATCAGTACGCCTCGACTCTACCTATTCTTGTCTACCATACCCCAAGAGTGTTTTTGTAAAGCCGTAGACGCGGAGGGAGCGCAACCCCCGCCCGCCTACGGCTATACAAAAACACTCATGAGCATGGTTGCCTGCGATCTGCTACGCAAGAACGAAGAGACTGCACTTCCCGCAGCGCCGAAGCTGTTGCAGAATTGACTTGGGTCAATATTTATGTGTAAAAAGTGAGGTTATGATTTAACAAAAAAATAATTACTCTATATATATACTCGTATAACTATACTTTTTCGCAAAGGGGGAAAGTCAGTGGGGCTTCTTCTGCACCCGACCCCTTCCCCACCCCTCCCACCCCCGTAAGCAAGTACCGGATGTCTATAGTTACCATAATGTCCTCCAGAGCAAATTTGTCACAGCCAGTCTATTCGCAGTTCTAACCTCCTCATAAGCGATTGGGGACACCATGATGAGCGATGGGTTGATTACCACTAGACGTACGAGGCAGGCATAATTATTATATTGAGTTGATGATTCATAATGTTCTGTATGGTGTTGGTACTCTATTAAATCATTTCGTCCTGTAAGCCAAGAGTCGGCTATACCCGTGCTTAAATAATTTCATGACCAGACCTATAGACTTCACTCCACACGGGACGTGGGTTATTCTGCCGTAGCCAACATTTATTTAAACACAAATTGTTTATATTTAAATCTGATCAGAATAGAATAAAGATTATAGAATAGACTGATCGCCTCTGTGTCTTGAACAAGGCATCCTGGCCTACCTCCGAAGTGTTACGTCGAACAGTTTATACGGGCAGCTAGTAGCTTAAGACCACGGGTTACCCCCATTGAGTTACAATACCTATAGAGTCACAAACAGACAAATAAAATGTCCGCGCCAAAACTCGGCGCACGCTGCGAAGTGCGCAGAGTTTTTGTTTAGTTGTAAGGCGACCACAATCCTCGTACAACGTCCGCGATGCCAAAGTGTTCGGTGATTTCCTGCCCAAATAACAGCAGACACGTGCGAAAAAAAGGATGGTGTTTCATATTTTAGGTAAGTATCATACCAAATTTACGTATTTATGTATCCACAGTGCATGTTTTCATTTAAATTTCAATAATTTTCATTTTATTAGCAAACTAAAACACTCACCGCCGACCGCGCGGCGCCGCGATAACGTTTCTCTTTCACACGTTAGACAAATATGCAAGAGTAAAAGAGAAACAAATAGTCACGCGTACGAGAGTGACTCGCAAATTATGTTCTAACGGTTCTATGGAGTGGATTGATACAATAAATATTTTTACAGATTTTAAACTTAATGTACTAATATTACAATGTTGTTAAATGTTTTATTTTTTAGTTTTCCGTACAAAATGTAGGTCGAAAGAGTTTTATTATTTTAAAGTATAATTACAATATGTTTTTTTTTTGTTTTTAGTTTTCCTCGAAACCCCATAAGATGCTCTGAATGGACAGTTATTATAGCAAAAACCCGAAATGAATTAAACTACAAGCCATATAAAGGGTCGGTTGTATGCTCTAATCACTTTCCTGCTTCAGACATTTATACAACAACGAAAGGTTTCAGTAGGCTTAACAAAAATGCAAAACCCATTTTACATGTAAGAACTTATTCCTTTTTTAATGCTTACAATGTAATATTTTATTATAACTTTCGATTTTGTATTCTTAAAATGCGTGCATTATTCAAAAATTGCTTATTTTACGTCTTGCAGATAAATGTATGATCTATGATTTCTATTACAGCTGAATAAAAAACAACTTAGAAGTTACGATAGTTCAGATCAAGACAACACTCACGTAAACTTAGATCACGACAACAATCAGCAAACAATTAAACAAAATGAAGATAGCATTGAATTGTCTTTTGATGTAAGTTAAAAATAAATAATTGCCGTAAATAAAGTACGTATAATAAAATATAAAGGCAAAATTAATTCCTATTTATTTATTCCAGATTGATAATGAATTTGGGAACGATGAAGAAATATGCCAACAAACTAACGTTGTATGCTTGCAGGTAGTGAATTTACGTCATAAAATTGTATGATTTTAAAAAATATTTCATTATTATCATTTTTTTTATTTGCTTCAGGAGGAAAATTCAAGAAAAATCGAACAGAGCCCTTCTACGTCTATAAGTATTGGGTCTATTTTAGACACTCCCAGAAAAACTGTTATAAAGAGAAAGCTGAATTTATGCGAAAAAATGATTTTAAACAAAAACAGACAGATCAATAGACTACAAAAACAAAATAAAAGACTTATTAAAAAGAACACAACTTTAAAAAAATGCCTTGAAAGTATTAAAAAGTAGGAAAGGCATTGACCAGTCGTTGTTTTCTGAATTATCTCAAAATTTAGAAGTTACCGAAATGTTCAATGCCTTATACATAAAAAATGTAAAGAAAAAGAAGAGGCCATTCAAAAAATATCCGCCTGCTGTTAGGAAATTCGCACTTACGTTCCACTTTTACTCGCCGGCAGCCTATAAGTATGTAAGGCGTCTCTATAACACATGTTTGCCTCATCCAAACACGCTATGTAACTGGTATAAGAGTGTTAACGCAGAACCAGGTTTTACAGTGGAATCATTTGATAGATTGAAGGAAAAATCCAACAATTCAGACAAAGAGTATATTTGCGCCCTAGTAGCAGATGAGATGTCAATAAGGCAACAGAAAATATGGACGGGGAAACGATACGAAGGACTAGTGGATATGGGTACAGGATCTGAAGAATCTGAAGTTATAGCTAGTCAAGTATACGTCATAATGTTGGTAGCTATTAACGATTCATTCAAAATTCCATTGGGCTATTTTTTTATAACAAGCTTAACAGCAGAAATGAAGGCTAACTTAATAAACATTGCACTGCGAAAATGTCATCAAGTTAAAATGAAAGTAGTTTCATTGACTTTCGATGGTTGTAAGACAAATATTGCAACAATGAAAATTTTAGGCTGCAACTTAAATAATAAGGAATCCATGAAAACCTTTTTTAAACACCCTTCCGCCGATCACAATGTAGCGGTATTCCTAGATGCATGTCATATGGTCAAACTCATGAGGAACGTGTTTGAATCTAAAAAAATTATAAAAAATGGGGAACACGAAGCCATCAAATGGAAGTACGTCACCGAGCTTCACAAATTGCAGGAGGAAAAACAGCTGCACTTATCAAATAAATTGACGCACAGACATATAGCCTTCAAGAACGAGATCATGAAGGTTAAATTAGCTACACAACTTCTAAGCCGCAGTGTAGCTAAATCTATACAATTTTGTAAAAATGACTTAGCTATAGCAACATTCGATGGATCTCATCCGACGTCAGACTTCATTATGACCATCAACAACATTTTTGACATTCTGAACACACGAAACCTACAAAATTATGGTTACAAAAAGCCTTTGAGCTTAACAAACGCTGATGAAATTCTTTCATTTATAGATCATGCCAAAGAATATCTGTTATCTCTAAATATTGACATTTTGCGAAAACGAACCATTAAAAAAAACAACGAAACAAGAACTGTGCATACCACAGAAAACGTACCGTTGTGGAAATCCCAATCAGGGACTGGAGCTCTGGGCTTGGTTATATGCCTTGAAAGCTTAAAACACTTATTTACAACACTGGTTAAGACATCAGTTTTGTCGTTTCTTTTGACATATAAAACTAGCCAAGACCATATTGAATTGTTTTTTGGTGATCTGAGAAGCCAAGGAGGCTATAACAACAACCCCAATTCTCGCCATGTAAAATCCGCTTACAAAAAAAATGTTAACCCATCTGGAACTGAGTTCTAAATTTTCCGGAAATGCTATACCACTTGAAAATATTCCCATATTGAGTGGCGACAACACTCTTCACAATTTAAATAATACAACAATTGGCTATCGTCATGAAATTGAAAACGAAAATGACGATACTCAAATTATTTCAATCCATGAGTCTGAAACGTATAGTAATTGTGACATATTGTCGCAACAGCTTGACGAATCTGAATCTGAGTCCGAATACATTGATCAAATTGTGGGGTATATTTCTGGGAACGTTGTACGCCACATTTTAAAAAAGGTTAAGTGCGAAGTTTGTTGCAACTCTTTGATGGCTAAAGAAAAAATGACATTCCACAACTTGATTGATATCAAAAACATGGGAGGATTATTTTATTCGTCCAAAGGTGTGTTTAATTTATGCAAAATACCGAGCACACTATAAGACATTGTCAACGTTGTGGACTTAAGTTGAACCCACAAAAAATTATTTCTGCAGTTCTGAAATCATTCGTAGGTGCAATAGTTATGGAAGATCTAATTGAACATGCATTTGAATTTACAAACCATAGAACCATTTTAATGAGGGCAGTCATTGAACGGTACATAAACATTAGAATTCATTACATTGCAAAGAATAGTACTGAAAAAATTAAAAATCAAAGTAAAAGGCAACGTTACAATAAATTAACATTGTTTCAAGGTAATTAGGTTAGGTTAAGTTTTAGTTGTAAGTTATTAAAAGTAAGTAAGTAATATAACGCTTATACCTAATATTAATTTTGTTTTATTTTAAATTATCAGCGACCCGCGTGATCCCGTGTTTCCCGGTATAAAAAGTATGTAGCATAAGTGATAATTTAGGGTATAAGCTATTTACATTTTCATCCGAATCCGTCGATCTGTTAGAGCACGAACAAAATACAAACATACACACTAAAACGTACATTTTAATACTTAGCATTTTAGTACCTAATTCACAAACCTTAGTGGTTTACTAGTGCTATTAATACTATTAATTATTACACCAATTTTTTTTCATTTACTTATCATATAAAAAATCTTATAAAATGTGTTATAAGATTTTTTAATATGATAAGTAAATTAAAAAGAAATTGGTGTAATAATTTTTGAAATCAGTTGTTTAGTTCTCCTAGGTACATATAAACTCACAAACTCATATTTCACAATTATTATAAACTCCTAATAATATTAGTATAAATAGCGTCTCCACTGATGCCTTGTTCCCTGCTCGTACGCAAGCCCTTGAGTGAATGATGATGACATTGCATACGAGCGACTTTGAACATTATACAAGCAGGTTAACGTCTAAATTCGAGCAAATGTCATTTTGAACTATATAATATCAAAATATATAGGTATATGGAACGGCGCTCGGACATTTTTTGAGTATTGTCAGTTAGAGATTGTGACTCTATAGGTATTGTAACTCAATGGTTACCCCCTAAGATTCTGCATACAGGGTCACGCGCGCAACACAGTATTCTGTGTTTAGGACGAGTTATAGTAACGGCACTGTGGGACCTCGGGCTCGTATCCCGCTCGGAATGTGCGTTCTATATAGGTTCCGGGTGTTACAGGGTGTTACATTGTGTGTGTACAATTTATGTAACTATGTATGTAGAACTCCTTTACGATGCATGAGAAAATCGTACGTAGGTACACCGAGTGACGCATCTCGCGCTGATAACAACACATCGACCCGCTACGAACCGCTATGTTGTGCTTCGATAGCGATGAGGCGTTTTAATTTTATACTAGATAATAATAACGCATACGATAATAGAGAGCATAGCAAAATATCTCCGACCGATCAGGCGAGAATTTTTTTATTTTCTTGAGCTCGGAATCGGAACGTCCAGCTGTCGTGCGCTGCTATGACAAATATTAACTGTCTGAAAAACCGCGATGAAGGAATTTGAAAATGAAACCTATTCAAAAACAAGCTTTTATAGGCGTCACTAGGGATAGGATGTCCATCTTTAGATCCACTCGATGGCATCATGTTATTGCATTGTCATTCACCTAAGTAAGCACAATCACATTTACCTAAGTAAGCCAAACGTTAGCTTATGTAGATGAATTTGATGACAAAGATTTCGGCAAGTGCTTCAATATTGATTACTAATTTTTAATTGATAAATTGTAGCTTCCAGTTATTAAGAAATTACCGCCGTGATTGGAAATGGACCGGAAGGAACATCATCAACATTAAATTTCGGTATAATATTGCTTTGTCAGGCAGCGGTGGCGACCATGGTAACGGCGGGGCAGGGGGTGCTAAGAATCTCCGGTGGAGGTTCGGTTGCCACCTACGACGACTCGACCTGGCAACATTTAACGCACGCACCCTGAGGACTGACGAGAAGATCCTGGAGCTGGAAGAAGAGATAGACAAGTTGCGCTGGAATATTATAGGATTATCCGAGGTCCGAAGAGAGGGGGGAGGACACGGTGATTCTCGAATCCGGCAACTTGTTCTATCAACGAGAGGGCGAACATCTGTCCCAAGGAGGTGTCTGATTTATCGTGCACAAGTCTCTCGTCAACAACGTTGTAAAGATTGGGAGTGTGTCGACGAGGGTCACGTACCTGATACTCAGAATCACCAAACGGTATTCGCTGAAGGTCATACAGGTTTACGCACCAACCTCGGCTCATCCCGATGAGAGGAGGTGGAGGAAATGTATGAGGATATTTCCAAAGCCATGCATTCCTCCAGAACCCACTACACGGTGTTGATGGGAGACTTCAACGCAAAACTAGGCACAAGAGAAAGCGGTGAGCTGAAGTTAGGGAAATTTGGAGTAGGGCAACGGAACCGAAGGGGCCAGCAGCTGGCCGACTTTATGGAGAAAGAGGGACTCTTTATGATGAACTCTTTCTTCCAGAAGCGGCCCCACAGGAAGTGGACCTGGTCGAGCCCCGACGGTTCGACAAAAAATGAGATTGACTTCATTATGACGACCAGACGTCAACTATTCAGTGATGTCTCAGTGATCGCAAGGATGAAAACTGGCAGCGATCACCGAATGGAAAAGGCACACTGAACCTTAACGTTAAGTTGGAGAGGTCTCGTCTAATGAAGTCAACGCTCCGTCCCCCTCGTGCTCTAATCCACAATCCCGAAAACTTTTAGCTCGAGTTACGTAACCGCTTTCAGTGCCTAGAAGATTGCAATGCAGTGGACGATATGAATGACAAGTTCGTGGAAACTGTCCATGCGGTCGGAGCTAAGTTCTGCAAGACCCGCCGCAGAAGAACACAAAAACTCTCCGATCACACTCTTAATCTCATGGCTGTTAGACTGGAGATGAGGCTGCAATCGTCAACAGATTTGACAGCATACAGGCAACTGAACAGGCAGATCTCCAAATGCATGCGGCGAGACTTACGCAACTTTAATACTGCTCGTATTAAAGAAGCGATCGAGCGGAACCAGGGCTCCAAAGTCTTTGCCAGAGATCTGTCTGCCAGTAAGAGCCAACTGTCAAAACTGAAGACTGAGTGTGGC